CTATGGAATAATGTAGAAATTCAGTATGAATGATAGTATTTGGAATTACACAGATGAATTTGGGTATGCGTTAACTTCTCAGGAAGGCTTCAGAAAAAATAAGGACCTGATGTGTGTACTGAACCTCACCACTTGGCTGAAGGATACTGAAGGCTGGAGCCCAATAAGGATGGGGTATAGAGTCTAAAGGTGAAGTCAGAGGAGACTATGCTAGTTGCGTGTTAAAGATCAATACATTGAATTTGGCTTTTGCCCTGAATAGTATATAAGGAGTACTCAACAATTTGGAGAAAGGAAGTGAATAGAATACAATCTAAATAATATTCTAAAAAGATGACTTTGGTTGATCTTCTGAAAACAAACGAGAATAAGGGAAGATGTGAAAGACATAGGAAATGGCTGGAAAGATGTTGGAAGAAGTGAGAAGGAGGCTAGAGTCTGAATATAATCTGAAAGTAGAACCAACACATTTTTGGCATTTGACAGAGGGAGAAGAAGAATAGCTTGGTGGACATGATCAGGGTTCAGCTATGAAGGGCTAAAGTCTACATACCTCTTAGATTGTCAAAAAAAGATGCCATTTGATTGAGATTTAGAAGTTACTGCTGAGCTGGCATTTGGCAACATGTAGATGGAATATAGGATAAACTATATGCAACTGATAACATTTGATGACTTTTGATTGGCAATAACAGCAGCTTTATAGGAATCCACCTAGTAAAATGCTGTGGAAGTGGAAAAGATGACTGAGGTTGATTGTGTAGATATAGTAGAGAGCCAAGAAAGATGGTCCTGGGATAAGGGATTGGGGAGACATGAGGAAAATCTGCAAATGAAACAAAAACAAAGCAGGAAAACATTGGGGCTGGTATTTTGATAGAGGGAGATACAAAGTTAGATTATGTTAAAAAGAATCTTAGAAAGACCAAACGATGGTGGTGGAGATGTAGCTGGGCTATAAGTGAGCTCTCCCCCAAGAAACCAGTTTTCACAGTTCAGGGAATAATTCACTATGGAAAAATCCCACCAAGTGAGCTGTAATAGTACAGAGATTCTGGCTAGCAAGGAAAAATTCAGGCAGTTTGCTCGAGAAGAAAGATAGGAATACACGCATCTGCTGCCGACTGGCAGACAAAGCCAGAGCAAAGATGCCAGAGACCAAAGGCCACATCTCTTCACCCACCTCCAGCGCAGACTGGATGATCAGGAGCGGAATTCCATATCCTGCTGGCCACTATCTGGATCAAATCGGGATGGGCAGAAAAGCCACGGAAAACCCGAGCATCCCCACACCCACAGGAAGGCTGTGCTGCTTACTGTTCCTCAAGAAACAGTCCTAGCCTGTGAAAGATTGAGTCCGACCTGTTTCCTTCCTTTCTCCTCCATTTTCTAAGAATATTGAGTTATCTAATCAGCTTTGAATGGATCCACTTTCATAATTCTACATATGGATGTCCAAGTATCCAGCAACCATTTTTATTTGAAAGTGGTTTTTTATTCTTAAGTCTTCTCTAACCCAAATCTTAACTACTTTTTCTCTAACTACTCTGATTTTTTTGCAGGGATTCTCATGGGAGTTGGAACAAAAGCCATGAGTGGTATCCTCTGACAAGCACTTGTCCCCAAACTCAGGGTGAGACTGTGTTCTAAGCCATAGACTACTCCACTTGACAGAATAACTTTCAAGTCATTCGGGTTTTCTGACTGTGACATGGTTGTAGTCTGCACAAAACCAAATTTGTAGTGGGACTTGTGAGAGAAAAGCCAAGCAGAAAGATTTGAAGCTTGCAATTCTCCAGACTAAGGAAGACTTAGAAAACTCTATCAAGAACAATAGGGCTACTGAGAGATCAGAGTTACCCAAAAGAAGCCATTGATTTTGTAACCAGACAATAATAATGCTGGAGTATGGGCATCTCAGAAATTGGACAGAACTCAAACATCTAAGATCCAAATGTGCAAATGTTTTAACAAAACTGAAATTTCGTCTTTACTTCCAGAGAGAGTTCTGAGCTGCCCTGCCTACATATTATTGCTCAGGAAATGTTTCCCCAGTTTGGCCATCCAAACTCTCATAGGCAGCATCAAATATGGTTCTAGGGGGTCCACTTTAGCTGGCAACAGACTTTGACATTGTCCATATGCTGCTATGCTGGCTTTGCACCCGGAATGCAAAAGTTACCCTGAACCAATTCTTTGATGGTGTATTGTGTGTGTCTCTGTGTGTGTCTGTGTGTCTATGTCTACCAACCTGGGCTTCAATTCAGAGATTGGACACTGTCCCTGAGCTTTACTGCTCAAGACTAGTGTTCTACCACTTGCGCCACAGCTACCTTTCTGGTGATTAATTGGAGATAAGAATTTCGTGGATTTTCTTGTCTGGGTTGGCTATAAACTGTGATCATGACATCTCACCCTCCAGAATAGCTAGGGTTATAGGTATGAGCCACCAGTGCCAGTTCCACTTCACTTTTAAAGGAAAGCCTGGAGGCCAGGCAATATGTAGTGGAATCAGAATACCTGCAGGTAGTGCTCCAGTAGGTGATGTGTGAAGGTAGATCTGAAGCTACAGAGGCTAGGAATGAGGAATGTTTAAGGAGAGTCACAGGCATTAAGTGTTACAAACTGATGAGAAAAAAAAAAACACATAGACTACAGCAGGCAAGTCCAGGGGAACAGAGCTGCCCAAGACCTTTGGAACTTACATCACACTGCCACAAGCCCTGGATGATGGTTATAATACTAGTGTATCTGTTTGCCCTGCTACATTTCATTCTTCCTTTCTATGTCACAATTCATTTTTGCTGCGTGCTGGAAGCTCACACCTATAATCCTAGCTGCTCAGGAGGTTGAGATCTAAGAGTCACGGTTCAATCATTTGGAGAAGGAAAGCCCATGAGACTCTTACCTTCAATTAGCCACCAGAAATTCGAAATGGCACTGTGGCTCAAAGTGGTAGAGCACTAGGCTTGAAGGAAGAAAAAAAAGCAGCTCAGGGCCAGCCCATAGGGTTCCAGTGCCACATCAGGCAAAAGAAAAAAAAAGTGGGGGTAGGTACAGGTACTGTAATCTTAGCTACTCAGGATGTGGAGATCTGAGAATCATAGTTCAAAGCCAATGAGGGCAAAAAAAAAGTCCCCGAGACTCTTGTCTCCAATTAGCCACCAGAAAACTGGAAGCCATGCCTTGGCTCAAAGTGGTAGAATGCTACCCTTGAGCTAAAAGCTCAGGGACAGCACCAGGCTCCAAATTCAAGCATCATGACTGACAAAAAGAGAAAAAACTAGAAAGAGAGGGAAGGTGTGACATTGTCCAAAAGCAATAAACACTTTACCTTACTTATGTAACAGTAACTCCTCTGTACATCACCTTAATAATGATAATTTTAAGTGGTCATTTTTACTATCTAAAAAACTTTCTGTTTCTACAGAGCTTCAAAACTTAAGAGTTTGCCTTGAATTTCAGAAGAACTTCAATACTGGAAGTGTATAACTATGCGGACTTTTGAAATAAACTGAATACATTCTCCATTGAAACCCATGTGAGACTTTGTGGAAGCAGAGAGGCCAAATGGCTCCTAAGATTAAATGAGACGTGCTCAGGTGCATAGCTGACAGGTGCATGGGTGAAAGGTGCATAGGGGTGGAATGTGCTGGGTCATCTGGTCAAGTTGATTGGATTGAGAAGTGGCTAGACTAGGAAAGCACACATATGGGTATGTCTATGAAGATGTTTCCAATGAGGAATGACTAAGCTGGGAAGACCTGTCCCAGATGGGGTGAAGCCATCCCATAAACTGGGGCCCAGACGAAATCAAAGGGGAAGAGCCAGTAAGAAGAATGTTCCTGTGATCCTCTTTCTCTACTCTCTACTCCTTTTTTCCTGTACCCCTCTCTCCTGTCTCCTGTATTTTTGCTCACTTCTCTCCTCTCTTCCTCTCTCCTCTGTTTTTGCTCTTCTTTCACATTTTTCCCTGTTTTTCTTCCCTCTTCTTTCCCTCTCCTCCATCTTCTCTCTTCTCTACTGTGGCTTCTCACCTCTGCCATAATTGACTCAAACTGTGAGCCAGCTCAAATTTTACCTCCCTCAAGTGGCTTTCTCAGACACCTGTCATAACAATGAAATACTGAATAGCACAGATTCTATACTACATCCCACCACACAAACTGCTGAGCCCAACTTCTATGCCTTTCTCTGGCTTGTGAAAGCCCTGACACATCTCACATTTTCTAAAACATCTGGTTCCCCAACAAGCCTTACTGTGCTTCATTTGGTGAAGCTCCAGTCCCACAGACCCTCATACTTCCTTGTTCCTCCACTCGGCTGACTCTCCTCTCCTCTGCATCCCATTCTTCCTGCACATTCTCCCACACAAGCCCTTCATGCTCTCTCACATTCAGGCAATATCTTCACTATAAAATTAGAATCGTGGGTAGATTTCAAGTTATTTTTATTTATACATACATATATTTTTAAGCCGGGATTCTAGGTCCCACACATGACTGCTTTAACCTCAACCTGTCATGAATGAAATATTTTTGCCCTTCATGACTACATGGCCAGTCATTTTGACACTGGGAACCCTCATCTGGAAGTTCCAATATATCAGCAATGTTCCAAGATGGGAAAGAAAATTAAATGTGTATTCCAAACATCTTAAGTAATGAAAAAAAATTCAAAAACAGTTTACCAGATTTTTCCACTTTTTTACAATGGACAAACTAGTGTAGGAATAGAAGCCACACTTCAACATTGCTCCTCTAAGAGGAAATACAATTAACCTTAAATATTCCAGAAATTGGGATGAAAAACATGAAAATTAGTCTTCACAAAACAGAAATGTTCCACAAATTATCTACAAACAGAAAGCTTCCTCATATATTTACAAATCCTTGTGTCTCCTTGAGTTCATTCTACATGAACTGTTTAAAGACGACTTTGCATCTCTGGCATGCACTGACTGCTTGAATCCTTTGTCTTGCCCTCCGAATGTGGTTAGACTAACGGGGTATCTCTGAGAATAAAATCTGTAAGTTCCACTTCTTTTGTAAATACTCTTTTCTCCTTAGAAATTCCCTTTTTGTTATCTCCAACTTTTCGTACTGTTTTGTCAGCTTATCAAGCTGGTCACGTAAATGCTGATCTTCCATTTTGGTGCTAAGGCACAGGTCAATGTGGGCCTCATTGGTTCTGTCCTCACTAGGTTGAATCTGCATTGCAAGCTCCCTTGCTTTGCTGTTTCCTGTTTTAACAACATCCAGTTTAGGGATTTGTCTTTCCAAAAATGATTTTTGCCGTATAAACTGGCTGTGAGCCTTCCATTCCCTGGCTGTTTTGGCAAGTTCTATACTCCTCTTGGCCTGTGTGATCTGCAGTTGGCTGGATAGTTTCTCGTGTAGCGGTAACCTAGGTTTCTGTAACTGAACTTTCCTGGCTATCAGTGGCTGGTGTTCATATTCATAGTCCACACTTTGTTGGGGGTTGATGGGGCTTGATACTTTCTCCTTTAGCTCTCTCTCCTCTTCCTCATCACAATTCTCCTGGCTCTCTTCCTCAATTATTTCATTGATACATCCCTCCTTGGGTTTGTTTTTGCCCCTTACAAATAACGTGTCTTTGTCCACACTGTGCATTTGGGTTTTCCTCTTGAGCTGGCCTGACTTCCTTAGCGCCATGACCGCTGTGGCCCTGAAAACGGGCTCATGTTTCAGTAACTTCTCTGGCTGCAATGATATACATTCAATAGCCGAATCTGGTGATGGGGGTGGGGAGTTGCTGAGGCTGTTGCCAGCGCAGGAGTGTTCATCTGTCGACGTGCGCAGTTTATTGCAGATGACTACCCTCGAGGGATGGCACGTGTCAGGGGTCTGACGTCGAGGGAAAGCAAGTTGGGGAAGATGTTGCACTTTCCCTGTGGCTCCCAGGATGTCATTGGGGTGGACCTGGCCAACCCTCGGGTCATGCACGTCCTGCGCTGTGGCCAGGTCCTCGCTGCGTTGTTGCAGGTGTTGAACAAGTTCAAGCTGGGGCAGATCGTGCGCTTTCCCTGTCTCTGTCTTGATGTCAGTGCGGCTGACCCCGATAATAGTAATGTCGCAGGCCTTCTCCGCCTTGACCAAGTCCTCCCTGCGTTGTTTTGCCTTGTCTGCTGCCAGTTTGGCCAGGGCAGTGGTTTGCCTCATGGGCCGTCCGTGGACGGTGTGCGCGCTCACGCTGACTTGCGAGCTGGTGGATGTCTTCACGGCGGCCCTGTCCACTTTGCCATCTTCCCTCTCGGAATTCTCCCCATCCGGATGGTCTGCAGCCTCGGGGCTTCCCACCAGAGGGACGGCGCGGGAGCTCTCCAAGCTACAGGCAATTCTGGGAAGTTGGACCTGCAGGGCTTCGGCCTTGGCCCTGGGGCCCTGGCCAACAACGCCAGTCCCCAGAATCAGGGGGTTCAGTGTGGTAAACGCCCTGTTGGGGACCCTGCGTTCTTGCCGGTCATTTGCTGCCAGATTGGTCCTGGCAGCCAGGAGTTTAGGGGTGGCACTGTCCCCTCCCCCATGACAAGTGAGGGGACCCCAGGTTAGGAATGAGACGGTCTGGTTGACTTCCTCCAGTCTGCAGGTACCCCCGGTGGGTGGTCGGCAGAGGGCCTCTCCCTTTGGGGGGATCGCAGGGAGCTGCACCGTCTGGGTCATGGTTGAGGGGGCCCTATGCACTCCCCGGCCCTCCTCGGTGGTGGACGCGGGCCTGGAGGATGGGGCGGCCTGCAGGCAGATGGTTCGGGAAGGCTCAGTCTTGGTGTTGGAGGAGATGCGGCCCAGGTTGACCTCCTCGTCCTTGCGAGTGGACGGTGATGTTCGCAGGCCTCCCCGCTCCTCCCGCTTGGCAGAGGAGGTGCGATCTGCGCTGTGCGTCAAACTGGGAGCCCTGGGCTGTTTCGCCTCCCTGGCAGCACAGGAGACCCCACGAAGGGTCAGTCGGAGGCCCCCACCCTCCACAGCCCCAGGGCTCTGGGCACTGGCTGGGGAGGGCCTGCGCACTCGGGCCTCCTCCTGGGTTGGGGAGGACCCACCAGGAAATGGCGATCTGGTGGTCCTGCTGTCCACTGCTGGGGAGCAGATGGAGACGCGCTTCCTGTGGGTGGCAAGGCTGGAGGAGGCCGGGCCCGAGGTCACCTCCTTAGGCGTGGAGGGAGGCTCAGCAGGAGGAGGCCTGGTGGCCCAGCCTTCACCTCTGCGGGCACTGGACTCACTCACTCTCTTGGTGGTGCTGGACGTGCCCCTGCCCTGCCCTTCAGGCCACATTGCCCTGGCCCACCCCTGGGGAACCAGGGACTGGCTCTTCCTGAACCTCAGTCTTGGCGATAGTAGGCAGTGTCTGGCTCTATGGAAAGATTGTTTCTATCTCAAACACTCTCACAAATACAGCCACAAAACCCTAGCTATCCGAGCTCTGGCACGAGCCTGCGCTCTCTCCTAGGATCTCAGCTCAGGGGCTCAGAGAATTCTGTGAACAAAGGCCTGGAATGGGGAGATGGATGAGTCAGGGGAAGGCTCTCTATTCAAGCAGTCTCTATGCTACTATGGGCAGGGCAACAGGAAATGTAGTGGCCCTGATTGGGGATGAACGGTGTACCCCACACTTCTGTTGCTGTTGGGAATGGCAGAATTTGGGGGAAATACCTGTCTCCCCTTACAAGACAGTTACTGCAGCTAAATAGAAGTTGTCTTAGGCAGGATGACAGGACAAAAATAAAAAAACAACAAGGCAGAACAAATTAAAAGACTATCTTTGGGGAGTTGTCCTCTGAGGGTCTTGCCACGAACTCATCTATCCCTTAAATGCTTCTAGACCCAGCCTGGATCAATTAAGGCTGTGTTCTGCACCCTAAGTGCATGTTTGGCACACCTGATCAAGTTGTCTGAACCATTCAATTACCCTTTTGGCAAAGGTCAGTGCATTTGAAGAACTGTCAAGGAGATTCCATTGGAAGCACATATGTTTTCTGTGCAAAGAAGACATATTTCTTCTGCTCCTAATCATAGTCTAAGTACTAGAATTTGACAAACTCTTCATGTTCTTCAAGTTAACTTTTTAGTGAAAGATATGAAACTTGTACATATGAATCCAAGGTAGCCAGGGAGTGTAGGAAAGGCTCTTTTAACCTCTTCTAAGGAAAGTGTTTGCTTTGATTCTCTCATGGCTGTGCCAACATATTACATAAATCATTTAAGGCAAGAAAAGTCTCATTTGGACTCATAGTTTCTGTCTGTCTCTATAGAGACTCTGTGGCAGAAGAGCAGCTCACTTTATTTCATTCAGGAAGTGAAGAGAAAAAGTACACACTGCCGTTCTTTCTCATTGATAGCAGCCATATGCAAATTGGTATGCATTTCAGGAAGCATGGCTGCAAACTCTGGAGCTAGACTAACATGCTTCAGAGTCTTCACCCTCCTTACCTCTGTCTTGTAACACAGCTTTGCCTGTTCATGGCTTTCATTTCCTCCTCTTTTAAATAGAGATAATATCAGTATTTCTGATGATTTTGTTCTGAGTAGAATGAGATAGAATCATAGAGTTGTTTTCATTTATGTTTTCTTCATAGCCAACTTTCTTGGTCATTTCTTTTTTCCAGTTTTAGTAGAGACAGCCTATATTTGAGTAGGTATGTCAGTCATGCCACACAAAGAAAAGCATAAGTATTTCTAGGGTTGCCTGGTTCTTATTGTATCTATTGGCCAGTCATTCTTCTGTAATCCTAGCCATTCAGGGGGCTTTTCCTTTGCTAGGCTAGGAAGATACCACTGAGCTATGTCTCTCACCCTGTTTTTAGGGTTAGTTCTCAATTCCCACTCCGATGTATGTCTGAGCTTCCAGTTGCCTACTTTCAAGCTTTCTATAATGCTGTGATCACCAGCACATGCCAACACACAGTTTACTTCATAGACTTTCCTGCCTGTGCTAGCCATGTACTTAGAGTCTCCCAATTTTAGCCTCCCACATAGAATTGGATTACAAGCACATATCATTTCACCCAGCAATGAGATAAAAAGGAATCTCTGTAACTTTGACACCCAGGCTAGCCTTGAACTGAAATCTTTTCATTCTCAGCTTCCCAAGTAGCTAAGGATTACAGGTGTGAGCCACCAGGGATCATTACATAACCAAATATTTTAATGATGCCAATTTAATTTGTACTATGTCTAAATGTAAGCTTTTTGACATATTTATAATGTCTGATATGATACTTGAAAGCATGAATAAAGAATTATTCCACAAAAATAAAAAGCTGACTACCCTACAAAAATTGATTCAATATTCAAATTTTATATCAAAATTTATGAGTGAAATTCATATTATCAGATATTTTAATATACTACTAATAATAAGAATCATGTAATGAAAATGTGATAACTGCTCAGAAATGAAGAGAGACCAATTTTGCAGTAGTAATCATTTTTAAAAATTGGATTATGGAAGAGGCACCAGTGGCTCACACCTATTATCTTGACTGTTTAGGGGCCTGACATGTGAGGATCACAATTTGAATCCAACCTGAGCCGAACAGTTCATTTTCAAAATGACCAGCAAAGAGCAGAATTGGAGATGTGGCTTTAGTACTAGAATGCCAGCCTAGCAAGCAAGCTGAGCAAGTTTGAAGTTCTGAGTTCAAATTCTGTCACCAGCAAAAGGGGAGGGGACTTAATGTCACTTCTGCCAATTCTGCCCTCAGCTTCAGTGGCTTGTCCTTGGCTGGGCAACCACCATAGGAAGTATGGGCCTTCCTCACTTTCTGATTGATTGTTTTTTTTTTAATTTAATTCTACTCAAATAAAAGCTACTAAAAACATTTATGTTTCAGTCTTTGTGTGCTTTCATTTCTGTTATGCTTTCATTTCTCTTGTGTGCATACCTAAAATAGAACAATTTTATTGATTAGAAATTAGAGATTAGAGCCATTTGAAACAGTTTTCTTGTTATTCCCCCACTTTTGAGTTCTGTCCACCTGGTCTTAACCATCCTTGATGACTAGCATCTGGCTGCAGAATCATCTGACAGTTGGCTCCTTGGACTCTGAACCAGTTAAAGAGTTAATAATCCTAAAGAGCGAAACAATCCATCGAGGCACGGTTAAAGGTGACAAAAAAAATTATTTACACTATTTACACCAGAAAAGGGGCCTATGACTACCTTGTCCTGGGCTGGATACCCAGAACCAAGAACAGCCTTGACTACCAAACCTCTAAGCCTCCAATAGACAGCCCTGACCTTTATTAGTTGGTCTGCAAACCACCTATCAGTTGGTCTGCAAACCTCTAAACCTCAGACCTCCATAACTCCAAAGCTCCAAACCTCCAAAGGGGAAGGCTTTTCCTTTTCTTCCCTTCCTCCTTCTCTGCAGGCCTCTCCACTCTCCACAGGCCTGCCCTGCTCTGCTCCAGAAGGTGCCTTTTCCACAGGCCTCTCTAGAAGAAGGTCTGGGTCCCTCCAGAGGAGGCCCCAAATGGCTCCTCGATGAAGCTCCAAATGTCCTCTTGAGGAGGCCTCCACAGGCCTGCCCTGCTCTCCAGCGGGCTTTCCCCTCCTGCCATCTCTCCCCACTCCCCCGGGACTCAGAACATGCAGCCTACATATAGGCTGCGCCTCTCCCCCACTCCAACAGAACTAATGGTTTCACCTGCCTAATGGTTTCCAACTGTCATTCATGCCCCTCCCCCGAGCTGCCCACTGTCCAATCACTTCTTGACAGCTTGCCATATGGCGCTCAGGCCCCACCCCCTCCAGCAGCACACCCCGCCCCCTTTCGGCAGCATGCCCCACCCCTCTGGCAGCATGCCCCATGCCCCATGTCCAAAGAGGAGAAGAAAGGAGGCTCAGATTCTAAACCTGGGATAGGATGCAGAATGATGGGGCTGGGGCTCTGTTCTCAGCCCCACAGAGACCATAGTAACATTGCAAATAGGGGGCAAGAAGACAAATTTCCTCATAGATACTGGAGCTGCTTATTTAATATTGAAAAATCCAGAAGGACCAATAACTAAACAAAGACTAAATGTCCAAGGGGCCACTGGAAAAAGTGAATCCTATCCATGGTCCCTGGCTAGAATAACTAATAACTAATCTTTTCTCATCATTTCAGACTATCCTTATCCACTCCTGGGTTGAGACTTATTGAAAAAACTAAAAGCCAAAATTTCTTTTCAAGAGGAAGATGTGAAATTATCATTAGAGGAAGATCCTCCAGCTAGTCTGCTGGAAACTTGTCCGCTTGATGAAGAATACATGTTGCTTCCCCCAGAAGATGTTAAAACAGGCTTTAACTTCAGCCCTAGCCTTGGCCTTGCTGGATCTCTGTAAGCCTTCCAGCTCTTTTTGGCAGAAACCAGAGGTATTGCCAAGGGGTTCTGATCCAGACCTTGGGGTCTTGGAAAAGGCCAGTAGCCTACCTCTCCAAATGATTGGACTCGGTGGCAACCAGCTGGCCATCTTGTTTGAGAGCAATAACAGTAACAGCTACCCTGCTAAAAGAGGCTGATAAAGTAACTCTGGGACAAGTCTTGAAGGTAACTGTGCTACACTCAGTGGAAGCTTTATTAAGAGCCATGCCTGCAAGGTGGCTAACAAACGCCTGAGTTATGCAATACCAGGCCCAGTTACTGGATCAGCCAAGAATCACCTTCATAAAGATAAATGCCCTCAACCCAGCTACTCTTCTCCCTGAGGACAATCCCAGTGGGCCCATCCATGACTCTGCAGAACATCGGCAGAGACCCGACTGACATTCCCAAGGCCACTCCTGATGAGGTACTTTACATAAACAGAAGTAGTTTTGTCAAGGATGGAGTTCAGTATGCAGGGGCAGCTGTGATGTCAGCAGATAAAGTAATTTGGGCACAAGCCCTAAATCATGAGATCTCAGCTCAGAGGACTGAACTAATCACTCTCTCAAGCCTTGAGGTAGACAAAAGGAAAAACTATTACTATTTATACTGACAGCCATTATGCTTTTACTACAGCCCATGTTCATGGGGCCCTACACAAGGAAAGAGGACTTAGATATTGGCTCTCCTGAACACCATTTGGCTTCCCCAAAAGGTGGCCATTATTCATTGTAAGGGTCATCAAAAAGAAGAGACCCTTGAGGCTCAAGGAAACAACTGAGCTGATTAGGCAGCTCAGGAGGTCACCCTAAAACCAGTGGGGACTCTAGAGCAACAAGTTATTACACCCCTACCAGAGCTACTGGAAAGACCTCATTATTCAAAAGATTTAGAATTAGAAAGGAGCTTCCCTACTGAGACACTCCCCTCTGGATAGAGAAAGCTGGAGATGCATGGATATTCATCCCTCGGGCCCTGGGGCAGACCTTGGTTACACTGACACATGAGAACACTCACTCATTTAGGGGAAACTCACCTGAATCAGTTATTGCAAAAACATTTCTTCATTCCCCACTTAAAAGACCTAGTCTCGGGCTCAGTGGTACAGCGCTTGCCTTGCATGCATGAGGCCCTGGATTCGATTCCTCAGTACCACATAAGCAAAAAGAAAAAAGCCAGATGTGGCACTGTGGCTCAAGAGGTAGAGCACTAGCCTTGAGCTGAAGAGCTGAAGGACAGCGCTCAGGCCCAGAGTTCAGGCCCCACGACTGGACCCCAAAAAAAAGACCTAGTCTCTGATGTGGTATCCTGATGTGTAAGTTGCCAACAGGTAAATGCTGGAAAGATGGAACATGTGGAGAGGATGCTTATATGAGGAACCTCACCTGGTGAATTTGGGGAAGTGAACTTCATGGAGGTAAAGCCTGGAAGGTATGGGTATCGGTATCTGTTGGTACTAGTGGACACTTTTTCAGGCTGGGCTGAGGCACACCCAACAAAAACCAAAAACACTCAGGTAACAGCTTAAAAATTACTCCATGAAATAATTCCTCCATTTAGCTTACCCTTAGCAGTGATCCAACAATGGCCCAGATTTCACAGACAAGGTTAATTATTAGCTAAGGCCATAGGAATAAATTAGAATTACATTGTATTTATAGACCTCAGATTGAGGGCAGGTAGAAAGAATTAACAGGACCTTAAAGGAAATCTTAACTGAATTAATCACAGAGACTGGCCTTTGCTTTTCTCCCCTTTGCTTTCCTCCAAGCAAGATGTACCCTTTGTGTTAGAGAATTCACTCCCTTTGAAATAATTTATGGCAGACCACCCCCTTTGGTTCCTAAACTTGGGGAAGCTATATTAATAGAAATGTTTAACCACAATCTTGTACAGTCACTGCAGGCTTTGCAACATGTTCTTTTACGTGCCTGTCCTTTAGTGGCTGAGAAAAACTCCACCCACTCTGTTGCTAGTATGGGTAAAAAGGCATCACACTCCTGAATTGGAACCCAAGTGACAAGGATCTTACTCAGCAGTGCCAACTACACCATCAGTTGTTAATGTTGCAGAAAAACATCATTAGATCCATCACTCTCAAGTGAAACAGGCAGTGAGACAATATCCAGAGACAGCTGCAAGATGGGCCATTCAGCAATTCTCAGAGGATCCCCTAAAGATAAGACTTACCAAATGTTAATTAATGTGTTTACCAGGGTCACAGTTCTTTGCTATGGTTGCCCCTCCTTGCTTTTAATGCATTACTAAGACTTCCCATGGGGAGAACTTTTCTGACCACACCTGTTATTATCTGCTGGACCTGATGCATTATAAGCCTGTCCAATGGAGTAGGGGAGGTGATTAGGATTCGGCAAAAAAAAAAAAGAGGTAAAAAGCAATGATTTGATTTGGAGGTGAAAAACAGTGGGGAATGTGATAATCCAGTTTTCTTGCTGATCCCCACTTCCAGTTCTGTCTGCCTGGTATTAATCATCCTTGATGACCAGCAACTGGCTAGCCACTCTGGTGTTCAGGTAGCCATAGGGCTCAGCACTGAAAACAGTTAAACAGGTAATAGCCCTAACATAGTCTTGTGTCTCAATGAGGCATTACATGTAGCCCAGGGCAAGGCAGCTGCTGGCTGGCTAACAAAACTCCTTTGTCACCTTTGACCACCCCTCCATGGATTTTCTCAACTCCTAGGTCATTTTAGTGGATGAGTTCTCCTTGATCCAGATTCTCAACACCATGTGGTGTGGGCAGTCATTTTAATTTAGTCTTTCTATTACATGTTAGCATGTCCTCCCTCATTTTGGTTTGACTGCCTCCCTCTTAGATCTTCTGCCCTTTCCCTGAAATCAGGCCTGGCTATAATTGTTAGCCCCCACCTCATTCCTGAACTAAGATATCTCCACCCTCCAGATGCATCCACATAATGCTGTTCACCCAGGTTGGACCACAGCTGCTGACCCTCCATGGTTATTGCCTATCTCTGGTGTCCAGCAGAGCACTCCCCTGCCTAAGTAGAAGCCTCCACCTCTAACTCCTAGACCATAAAATATATATCTCCTTCCCAAGAGCAGGCAGCTACTCTTTCTCTCCCGAGAGAGCTAGCCTGTCAGACCCTTGCTGACATTAAAAACTCCTTTCTTTACGGACTGTGTGTCTGCATGGTTCTATGGGATGGTGCTTTCACTATGTATTTAGAGTAACCAGACCTTATGCTTGGGAAAACATTGTAAGACACCCCTCCTAGCCCCCAATGGATGCCTGCAACTGCATCTACAGCGCTTGTCTTGCATGCATGAGGCCCTGGATTCGATTCCTCAGCACCACATAAGCAAAAAGAAAAAAGCCAGAAGTGGCACTGTGGCTCAAGTGGTAGGTAGAGCGCTAGCCTTGAGCTGAAGAGCTGAGGGACAGCGCCCAGGCCCAGAGTTTAGGCCCCACGACCAGACCTCCCCCCCCAAAAAAAAATACTTTTGCTAAAAAGCACTGACTCCTCACTGAGGCCCACAAGTGAACCCAAAGCAAGCAAAAAACTTTCCTTCCCTTCCTCCATTCCACATTTGTCTGTTGTTCTGGGGCTCTCTTACACAATCACCTTGGGTTCCAGGAAGGAACTGCAGGCCAGGTCAATAGCATCTTTATGACAATGGACTAAATCTTCCCCCAAGGAGCAGCAGATCACCCCCTACCCCAGTCAGGACAATTACTATGATCATACGTCTGTACTCGGGATCAAAAATGCTCATATCCTGGAAATTAGATAGCTCCTTTCAAATGTTAGCATAACAACTTCTCCATGACCCTTACCAGAAGTAGAACTGTGATTGTGTTCAACTAGATAATATATTGCCTGGGACTGTTTTATTATGCATACTTCCTGTCCCCTACTCCAATTCTTCTTCTCTTTAAACCAAAAAGCTGGGGCTGAGAAGTGGTAGAGTGCTTGCCTTGCATGCATGAAGCCCCGGGTTCAATTCCTCAGCACCACATAAGCAGAAAAAAGCCTGAAGTGGTGCTGTGGGTCAAGTGGTAGAGCGCTAGCCATGAGCTGAAGAGCTGAGGGACAGCACCCAGGCCCAGAGTTCAGGCACCTAGACTGACCAAAAATAAATAAATAAATGAATAAATAAAGCAAGCAAGCAAAACAAAAAGTTTATGTATGAGCCAATGTACCCTAAGATGCACTGTGAATCTTACTTTGCTTTTCCTCACAACATTCCTGTTCCACTAACAAATCTTTCTCTGCCCTTCACCATGACCCTGAGTTCAATCCCCAGAACTGGCACACACACACACACAAAAATAAATAAATAATGTAATAGATGAATGTTAAATCATGTGAACAAATGTATTAAGAAAAAAGAGCTTGATAGGAAATGGACTCATTACCTTGCTCATGGAACTGTAACCCCTCTATACAGTATCTTTACAATAAAAAAATATATTAAGAAAAAGAGAAAAAAGTCATGTTCTATCTAAGAAAATATGTACACTATAACTTTCTATTCAATAGTTTCTATAGAAAGAAAAAGTGGAATAAATATACCTTAAAATATTAAAAATAGTTATATTTAACAAATTACTTTTGTTGTATTTAGTTATCTGAATAATGATGCCAATACTTAGTACTTCTGTAGTGCTTACTGGCTGCAAGGAAGTGTTCTTCTACATATGTTATAGATACTTCATATATGAATATAACTGACATTAATCTAAATTTTCAACAATAAAAATTGTCAGCTTCAGCTAGGCACTGGTAGCTCATGCCTGTAATCCTAGTTACTCAGGAGGCTGAGATCTGAGATCAAGATTCAAAGCCAGCCAGGACAGAAACATTCATGAGAATCTTATATCCAATAAACCACCAGAAAATTGGAAGTGGCAGTGTGGCTCAAGTGGTAGAATGCTCATGTTGAGCTAAAGAGCTGAGGTATAATGCCCAGGCCCAGAGTTCAAGCCCCATGACTGACAAAAAAAAAAAGAAAGAAAGAAAAGAAAAAAGAAATTGCCAGCTTTTTTTTTTTTTTTGGTCCAGTCGTGGGGCCTGAACTCTGTGCCTGGGCGCTGTCCCTCAGCTCTTCAGCTCAAGGCTAATGCTCTACCATTTGAGCCACAGTGCCACTTCTGGTTTTCTTTCTTTTTTGTTTATGTGGTGCTGAGGAATTGAACCCAGGGCCTCATGCATGCAAGGCAAGCGCTCTACCACTGAGCCACCTTCCCATCCCAATTGCCAGCTTTTTATAGTATAAAAAGCATTTGAGAAAATCATAAAGACATAATCATAATTTAGGATTGAGGAAGCAACTACCAGTAGAATTAAGGCTCTGAAATTATGAGCTCAAATAAATCCTTCCTTAGGACTTATGGTAATATTGTATTTGTATAGTATTATTGTACAGAAAAGAGCAGGACTGGGACTGTTCTCTTTAGAAAGACCTACTTGCAAGGCTGGATCCTGAATGGCAGTTAAGACACTTAATTCTGGGAGGGTTCTCACCATTCCTAGAATAAAATCTATCACTATGCCTCAGCTGTCTTATGAACAACATGGTTACCTGCATTCCTTTTGAAGACTGGAATTTTGAAACATACAAGATAGATAATGCCTACAAGTCCAGACTCCAATAAAAAAAAAAAACTCTGGACATGGAGTCTCTAATTTGCTCTTCTGGTAGGTGTGGCATGTCATACACACTGTCACAACTCCTAATTCATATCGATGGAATTCGTGGGGTTTTATGTGTATGTGCTAGTTTTGGGGTTGAACTCAGGACCTCTCACTCTCCCTTGGCTTTTGTATTCAAGGTTGCTATTCTACCATTTGACCTGCTAGGATCCATCCCAGCCATACCAGAGGGCCATGTAGAGGCAAGCAGGCACAGAAGAAAGAGCATGAGGTTTTTCAGAGCGGCCGTATCTCCCCCGGAAGAGGGAGCAATATGGCATCTGCCTCTATCCAGGTGGTGGTTCTGGGGCTAGTGGGTCAGGTACTTTACCTGTGCAGGTAGGTCTGGGCAGAGAGTAGGAGTGGCCAGCTCTCCTAACAGGAGCTCTAGTGCAGGGAAGAGCTCAGGTGTGAGTGGGGTGAGGACCAGAGGTGGGCAAAATGCTAAGATGACTCACACCTTCAATTACAGTTTTCAGCTAGTTAACTGGTGATAAGAGACTCTCAGATTTGTCTGCCTAGGTTGGCATCAAACTGTTAGCCTCAGACCTAACCTTTGAGTAGCTAAGGTTATGGTATGAGCCACAAGTGCCTGATGGAATTAAGTTCTGTCCTATGTGACTATAGAGGATACCTGGAAGCTTACACCTAATTTCATCCACAGATGCTTACAAGAGCTATTTCCCTTTGCTGATTTTGCTTTGCATCTTTTGGCTATAAGTCACAGCCATGAGCACAACTACATGCTGAATCCTATGAGTCTTCTTAGTGAATCACTGAACTTGACAGTGGCGTTAGGGACTACTACCAGCTATATGGAAAGATAACTGTATTGAGTAAGCCTGTAGGATTGGAACAAAAGTCAGAAAAAAAAGTTGATGTTTCCTTTCACATATAAGCCTTTTCCGGGCTTTCAGTTGCATTGAGCATTTCTGTTTTTATAAATAAATAAAAAATGTAATCACTATTAATTCTAAAAGTAGACCTTAAAATTCTCCACGAGGATTTATTAATATATGGGTATATTTTACTTCAATTGTTATGAGAAATGAAATTACTTTATCATCTTCTCTCCTCCTCCAGTGGAACATATTCACAATGTTTCTTGAATTTTAATCAAAGTTTTAATCAATTTTAAATAAGAAGTGGTGCGAACTCCAGGTGATGAAAAAGAGTATGCAGGTGTGTAAGTATATAAGAGATATATAGCAAGCACCTCTGTAACCTGGAAAAATACTCAGGTGTAAATATGTGCATCAGAGATGGGGCAACCTTTAGAAGGCCTCAAAAGTCAAGTTGAGGCATTTGAATTTTATCAGGAAAGCTGAGGCTGCAACAAATGATTAATAATACTTTTTTTTTTAATGAGTCGTGAGGGTTGAACTTTGGGCCTGGATGCTGTCCCTCAGCTCTTCAGCTCAAGATGAGTGCTCTACCACTTGAGCCACAGCACCACTTATGGTTTTCTGGTGGTTAATTGGAGGTAAGAGTCTCAGGGATTGTCCAGCCCAAGCTGGCTTCGAATAGCAATCCTTAGATCTCAACCCCCTGAGTAGCTAGGATTACAGGGTTGAGCCACTAGCACCTGGCTACTATTACATTTTTTTAAGGCCTAAATCATCTCCAGTCTAAAAGACTCAGAGAAATTTCCAAAGTGCAGGCAGTAGTAGTGCCCTTTGCCTCATCCCACTTAAAGCCCAGGCAGCCAACCTGTTGTAATTGAGGTATCTCAAGAGTTCAATATACAAGTTTTAAGGAAATGGACCTAAAGAGGAATCCAACTACCCAGAATACTAAAATCCAGACAAGTGACTTGCCTAGACTCACTCAGAGCAGGTTAAATGGGAAGCGCCTGGCAGGTTCTTTAGGGTCACTCTCCCTAGCTACCTCTCCAATTAAAGAACTTTGGATGGCTGTTCAATTTGAGTTTCCATTTGTGTAACAAATGTCCCTAAACCCTATAAACAATGTTAGTTTACTTTTTTTGGATTTGTTGTCTTTTTAACACCTGGATGTTAATACTAAATTAAATTAATATTTTGGGTTCGGTAGGTTTTTCATGTGTTTTTTGTTTTGTTTTTGTCAGTCGTGGGGCCTGAACTCTGGGCCTGGGCGCTGTCCCTCAGCTCTTCAACTCAAGGCTAGCGCTCTACCACTTGAGCCACAGCGCCACTTCCGGCTTTTTCTGCTTATGTGGTGCTGAGGAATCGAACCCAGGGCCTCAGGCATGCAAGGCAAGCACTCTACCACTGAGCCACCTTCCCAGCCCACCCCCTCTTTTTTTTTTTCCTGGTACAACTGTTGCCCATGAATAAAAGCATCACTCCTATTATACGGAGAAGGCGAGTACTAGGAAGGTGTCCACACACAAATCCCACAGGGTGAAAGCGCCACGAGGATACCAGTCCCTTCCTTCCAGCCAGCGCCGCGGCACTCCGACGTCACTGCGCATGCCCGCCGGGAGCGCGTCGCCGGCATGACGTCACCCAGCGGCGCCACGCCCGCGCGAGCGCCATGCTGGGCTTGCTGGGAGGCCGGCTAACGCTGGGCCTGCGGGCCTCAGCGTGGGGCCGTGCCCGCTGTTTCCCGGTTCTGACGCGTGCCGCGGGAGCGCCCCAGGTTGGGGAGCGGACGGCTTCTGCCCCGCCGGAAGCTCGCGGGCGCCCTCTCAGCCTGGCGGCCGTGGTAAGCTCGGCGCCGCGCCCTCTGCAGCCCTACCTGCGCCTCATGAGGCTGGACAAGCCCATAGGTGAGTGCGGGGAGCCCGCGCGCGTGCGCGGCCAGGGCCGCCGGGGCCTGGAGGGTGGTCTGCGGGGAGCACCGGGGATGAGAGCCCGGAGGCCGGGTCTGGCCGGACCCCCTGGGAGGAGTCAGCTGTGGACAGTATCGAGGTGATAACCTGAAGAACCCTACCGGTCTTCCTGCCCTGTGAGTCGGGGGGTGTGTGGCACCGAGCCGGGTCGGAATTTACTCATTCCATAGTCTTCAAAACAGTCCATCTAAGCAGAGCAGTGTTTACTCCTGGACCAGCACTTGCAGAACTACTGTCATAAAGCACTTCTATATTCGTGGTAGTTGCTGGAACATAATGAAGTCAATTAAAATGCTGAAGAAACATTCTCCTTGTCACAGCCAGACCAGAAGAACCAAGTGTTTCAGTGCCGAGCTCTTTTCCCGCCTCAGTCGTAGCACAGTGATTTAGTACATTTGATCGCAGCAGGTATTACTGTGCTGGACTCCCCTGACAACTCACAATCGCCAGTTGAGGGAGGATTCCCCCGGTCTTCCTATTTAAACGAACACATCCCTCTAGGTCTTTATTTTGTTTTCCTTCAGAGTTGTCACCACTAACATTATGCGCTTTTAATTTCCTATGCATTTATTTATGTTTGTCGTGGGACTTGAACTCAGGACCTGGGCACTGTCCCTGAGCTCTTTTGTTCAATGCTAATGGCCTATCACTTTGAGCCCAGCATCACTTCTGGTGTTCTGATGGTTAATTGAAGATGAGTCTCCAGGGTTTATCTCAGCCTTGCTCACCTTGGCTAAGCTATGGAACCAACCCAGAGCCCCTCAGCAGATGAATAGCTCAACATATATACATATATATATATATATATATATATGTATATACACACACACACAGAGTACACACACATACACATATTCTATGCCTCTATCAGAAAGAATGACACCACCCCCATATGTTAGGAAATGGAAAGACTTGGAAAAAAATTATATTAAGCGAAGTAAGCCAGGCCCAAAAGAAACATAGGTCCCATGGTTACCCTTATTTGCAATAGCTAGTATATGTCTAAGACATGCAGAAAAGTTCAAAAGCTATGTACATATGACCATATAAGATGATGTTAAGCGAAATAAACCCCAAGATAGGGACACAAGAGGTTTTTCTTGCAGTTGTTTTTAATGTACTTATACTATGTGATTTTTCATGTTTCTTTTGTATGTTCTACCCCCATTGTATAACCCCTTTATTCACTGTATTTGATTCCGGTGCCCTGCATCTTGTATATACATTTTTCTAATTTGGGGAGGGGAAGGGAAATAACAAAATGCTGAAATAAGGATATAGGTTGACCCACTGTAGCAATGAAATGTACAAGGCACTATGTTGAAAACAAACTTTACAGCTTGGGGTGGGAAGGGAGGAAGTGGGGAGGTGGGGAGCAAAGGGATGGTAGAGGAAAAACAAAGAAGGGTGTAACAGTGCTCATTAGGAAATGGACTCATTACCTTACTCATGTAACTGTAACCCCTCTATCAGTATCTCTGCAATAAAAATATATATTAATATAAAAAGCCCTCTTCCTAGCAAAAAAAAAAAAGTCTCACTTTCCAAATCGAGATCCTCAAATCTCAGCCTCCTTAGTCAGTACAGATGTGAACCACCAGCGCCCAATCTTAAGTACTTATTTTAATGCCATCTGCAGCTCAATATAATCTACTTATACATCAGATACCTAGAACACTGCCTAGGAGTAGTGCTAAATGAATTAAATCCCTGCCACATTGCTCAACCTTAGGGCTAGGAAGGAGTACACATACTCCTGTCTGGTTGGGGTGGGGAGATAGTTGGAGGCCACTGAAAGTATGAAATCAAATGAGTGGGCCAGATAGGGCTGCAGGAAAAAGTGAAATTGTGGATCTTTATTACAGGAAAAAGTGATAAGAGGAAATTGTACTTCAAAATGATAGGATTTAGTAGAAAAGCAGGCAGTCAGGAAATTGAAACCGTTATTACTTGCAGATGGCAGAATAACCTGATACTCCAAAACTTGCTTGACCAGGAAATGAAAGTGGAGGGCTACAAAAGAAGGAAGTAAAACCTGTTAAGTATATTTTCTTGGCTCTACCTTCTAAATGCTCAGATTACCAATGTGTGCTGTCAGGCACTGAAAGGCTTTGTTTTTAATACGTTCTAAGTTTATACACTGTGTATTTAGGATTAGAGCACTGCAAATCATAACAATTGGAAATTAAAGTATAAAATCCTATTGAATGTGATATATATATCACATATATATATATAATATATATATATATATCTCCATTATTGGGATGCTGTGTTTGACCCCCTATATATTGGGGTCAGATTCAGATCAACAAGCCTAAATTTAAAAGTTGGCTATAATTCTATTCTTGGTTACTGCATCCAGAAACACACAGATAGCTTACAGACATCTAAAAGATAACAGCTGCCACCATTTTCCATTTGCATAGTTAAACCTCTGGTGTCTCTTTTGGTGTCTGTGCATTTTGCCATGAAACAGCATGAAAGGGATTATGAGCAAAGTTCTGGAACTAGACCTTTTGGATTTGAGTTTTCACTCATTTGAGGGATTGTGGCTAAATAACTTAACCTTCCTTTTCATTGCTTTAATCTGTAAAATGCAGATACTAAATACTGACTTTATTCGTCATAATAAAGATTCATTAACATATTATTTGAACAGTCTGACATACAAAAAGGACTTAAAAATTGTCATTTTTACTTGAGAAGTAAGGATTAGAAAAGTTGCATTTATGGTTATATAAAGTCTATGTGATTTATCTCTAAAGATGATTGCAGAGTTTTTCAGAAAATGTAGAATTGGTTTAACAAGTGAATTTGTTTTGAACATTTGTGGAATTTCTGGCTTTATATTTCTTTAAATTCTTTTCATGCCATTTTATGTTTATTATTTTACTTCATTGAGTTATATTTCATAGATTGATAGTAGGCTTTGCTATTCCTAAAAAGGTGTTATAACTTCTTTGAAATGGGTTAGTCAACCTATACTGTTTCAAGAAGTTTCACCAGGGGGCACTCTATCCATTAAACTGGGAGTATAGTTTTGTAGTTACTGGTGATTATGTTGTCTGAAAGAAATTCTGCCATTAGTCTTAGACTCAGTTTACACAAACACTGTTTTCTGCTCATCATATTTCATAATTTGATCATTTTATTACATCTCTAGATAGTTTTTACTTTTTATGGTAAATATTTGTTTCTGCTATGTATTTGTCTCATTGTGTAGCAACATATAAAAGAGCATGAGGAATGAAAATACCACAAGAAAGAAAATGTGGGGCTGGGAAGGTGGCTCAGTGATAGAGCACTTGCCTTGTATGCATGAGGCCCTGGGTTCGATTCCTCAGGACCACATAAGCAGAAAAAAAAAGCCAGAAGTGGAGCTGTGGCTCAAGTTGGTAGAGTGCTAGCCTTGAGCTGAAGAGCTGAGGGACAGCACCCAGGCCCAGAGTTCAGGCCCCACGACCAGACTCCCCCCCCCAAAAAAAAGGAAGAAAGAAAATGTGTTGCTGGAAATCAGTAGGGGGCAACAAGTAGAACCTAACTGTATATAAAGATTTGGGTATAAAAAATAATAACTTTACAGGCTGGGAAGGTGGCTCAGTGGTAGATCACTTGCCTTGCATGCATGAGGCCCTGGGTTCGATTCCTCAGCACCACATAAGCAAAAAGAAAAAAGCCAGAAGTGGCGAAGATAACTTTGGACTTAAGTTATGGACTACCACCAGGTTACTTCCGTCGGAATTCCTCCTTGGCCACCAGTTATACCTATGTGTCCTCAGATAAATTCCTCTGTGCTCAGCTGTTATATTTATAAAGTTGGTCTGATGAGAATAGCTGCTGCCTTAGCGATTTGTTGTAAGAATCAAACGTGTTCTGTAAAGGTCCTGTGCCCATAGTAGCTGGTCTCTATCTGTTATTCTTACAACCATTATTGTTAATATGGTCATCTTATTACAACCCTTTGAGGCAAATGTTCTTTTTCCTTCATTTACAGATGAAACCAAGATTTTCATCTTCAGATACTTTAGTGTCTAGTATCACTCAGCTTATAAGTGGCAGACATAGAATTAGGAAGTCTGTGTGACTTTCCCCTTTTCTGTAGAAATCTTCCTACAAATTCATATCAGTAAGTGTACATAATACTTAAAATATAGGTTTGTGATAGAAATGGATGGACAAAGGGTGGGTGAACAAATGCAGCAGTGGTATTCACTAGACACTATGTTGAAAATCAACTGTACAACTTCTGAGTGAGGACAGGAGGGAAAAACTGGGAGAGAATGAGGGAAGGCATGAGTGACATTGTCCAAAAAGAAATGAACTCTTTGCCTGACTTATACGTTTGTGGAGAGAGAGAGAGAGAGATGTTTGTAGCCAAAAACATTTTGCTCCTGGGACAATTTGCTATAGGTGGTTACATATCCTGCTCGAAAATTTTTTTTCTTTTTTATCAACCCTTTATTTCTAGTTCCACCAAGCAATTATATACCTAAAGTGTCATTCCTGTCTAGCTCAGAACAGTATCAGATACTACTCTGTCCCTGAGGAACTCTACTGGTAACTCCAGCATAAGGGAAATGGTCAATAGTATTATTTAATGTAACCTCTCCGATTATCTCTTTCTCACCTCTGAGATAGTGTTGAGGATTAGACAAGTTTGTACATTATAAGTATTTAGAACACTGCATGATATCTCATGAACATTTAATAAATGTTAGCTAGTCTTGTTTTAAGTGGGCATACTGAAGATGAATCTGTTCAGGAATAGCTGATTTCAAGTACTGGACTGGTGATTTCTCAAGGATTTTTCTTGGGGCTTCTCTAACCTTTTCTTCTGTGTGAATTTAAGTTCTAATTGGAAAAGCCTCTAATTCCTCTTTTTAAAAAATTGTTTTATTGTTATCATAAAGGTAATGTACAGAGGGATTACAGCTACATAAGTCAGGTAAAGAGTACTCCCTCATTCTTCTTTATCTCCTTTCCAAATAACTTGGCATGGTTAGGTCTTATGTCTTTATAGCACCTTGTTTTTGTCCTGTTGGATTGACCTTTTATTATTGCTTAACTATTCCTTACTTTTTATTTATAAGCTGCAAGAAAGCAAAAACCAGCTCTCAGATGCCATTATATTTCCAGTGCCTAGCACAGTACTGGCACAGATTATGTACTTCATAAATATTTGTACATAAATCAAGCTTAAACTTGATTATAGACGTTAGCTATTTTAACATTTTTATGTAGAATTTGATCTTTATATGCAAATCCCTTTTCTCTATCCCTAAGTAAGGAAGTAAAACAAAACTTATCTAATACTCTTCATCAATAAACTTTGAAACACTTGCTTTTTGGTAGGATGTAAAATCTTTCATCTATATTTGCTTTTGGCTTCATGATATAGTTTATGGGTTAAGAATTAAGAACTAGGCAGAGAATGGTGCCTCCTGCTTATAATCCTAGACACTTAATAGATAGTTATCAGAAAGATCAAAATTCGAGGCCAGCCTAGAGGAGAAAAGTTAATGAAACCCTATTAGCAATAAACAGGGCATAGTAGTATCTACAATCCCAGTTGTGTGGGGCAGATGAGATAGAACAATTATGGCTCAGGGCAGAGTCTATCTGAGAAATAACTAAAGCACAAACAGCTAGGCGGCAAGGCTTAAATGGTAAGTGCTGCTTAGAAAGTATGGCTCAAAGCCCACACACAAATTAAGAACTAATTTATTTGTGTATGTAGCTATAAACTATTCGCTATGACATTCACTCTTTCTCAAAGCCATCTCAAGCATATTAACAACAGAAAAGGTTTTTACTAACTTAAGTGTATAGTATGTATATACAACAGAAAATTCAGAGTGCTGGAGTAGGGTGTTCTCCCACATTCCCTTCTCAGAAGCAGCTATTATCAGTTACAATATGACTTTTCTGAAATGTGTCAGTGTGTGAACATACTAACATTCAAATAGCACATATTTGTTATGTGTATATGCATACGCAGCATAATTTTTAAGTTGTCTTCTATAAGCAGAAGGCTATTTTATAGCTTCATCTAAAAATACATGAGACTATCTAATTTCCCAGAGACTTTGAGTTTTGCCAGTCTACTGAGTGAAAGATGTTCTTATGAGAATGTTCTTTTAATGAGTGTTTTTCAAAGCTGAATATCGCTTTGTATGTATGAGCCATTTACTTGTATGCCTTTTTCTATGAACTTTTATTGTGTCTTTTGTCCATTTTTTTATTGGACTACTGTTCTTTTCTTTGTTTCTGGTTTCTTTGCACGTTAGGGAAAACTGTGTAACACAAGTTGCAAATTTATATTCCCAATATTTTTGGGTTTGTTTGTTTGTTTGTTTTTACTTACAGTGTTTTTCTTGGAGCATGTAATTAAACAATGAAGGTTATTTAAAACTGACTTGAATTTGTACCTTTTTGTCTTTTTACTTTTGTTTAGGAACCTGGCTACTGTATTTGCCATGTACCTGGAGCATTGGTTTGGCAGCTGAACCAGGTTGTTTTCCAGACTGGTACATGTTATCCCTCTTTGGCACTGGAGCTATCCTGATGCGTGGAGCAGGCTGTACTATTAATGACATGTGGGACCGTGACTACGATAAAAAGGTAGTTTCCTCCTGGAAAGGAACAGAGAAGCTCCTTTCAGTTTTACAGGGTAACGTGATGGCATTACTTTCAAATGCCACGTAAAGCAACCAAGCAGGCCCTTTGGTTATCTTACCTAGAATGCAATATATGGTGCTAGTATCAGATGTATAGCACAGTTTACTTCCTTTCTCCATCCAAGAAGGGCCATAGGGCAAGGTGTGTACTTTATTTTTACAAAGTAAATTAAGAAATTGAGAGCTAAGGATAAAGGAGTTGTGAAAGCTTAGAGTGAAAGTTAACTCTCACTGAATGTTTTTAGTGAAAAAGTTTTTCTGGGGCTTGAACTTAGGGCCTCATGTTCTCACACGGCTTTTTGGCTTACAGCTGGTGCCTCTACCACTTGAGCTACATCTCAAGTTCTATTAGTTTTTGCTAGTTAATTGGAAATAAGACTCTGGAGGAATTTTCGGCTCAGGCTAGCTTTGAACCATAATTCTTGTATTTCAGCCTCCTAAGTACCTAGGATTATAGGTGAGAGCCAGGAACATCTGGCTTTCACCCTTTGTGTGTGTGTATGTGTGCCAGTCGTGGGGCTTGAACTAAGGACCCAGGTGCTGTCCCTGAGCTTTTTTGCTCAAGGCTAACACTCCATACCACTTGAGCTATAGCTCCATTTAAGTGTCCAAAAGATAATACCATCCCTTCCTATGAGATGTATTTTTGAGCCCCAACTATTCCTATGTAAATCCATTCTTAATTGATTAATCTTAATTTAAATGAACCTTTTAGTATTGGCTATATAGGAATCCCTCCTTCAGCCTGTTTCTTTTAAACTTTCATTACCCACAATCCAAATGGAAAGTTACAATAATAAACCAATATAAACTTTAAGCAACCTTCTGAGAATATGAAACCTCTTTTATTTAAAAAAATTATGATAATTATATTATTGACTTTTAGTTAATTTTTACTGGGCCTAATGTAAATTAGACATTAATAAATTAAATATTACCACATATGTATAGGAAAAATGATAGTTTACTTGGAGCTCAGTACTCCCTGTGCTTTCAGGCATCCATTGGGATTCTTAGAATGTATCCTTCATGGTAACGAGGAACTACTGTGATTATTGTTTGTCTCCTTAGAAAAGTAATAGATGCTTATTTTAAGCACTGCACAGAAATGCAAAGGATAGAAAGTGCAAGTCTTCCCTCCTCCCCAAGCTTCCAGAGAAAACTGCAGCTAACAATTTGTGGCATTGTATACCTCTAGATTATTTGCTATGCATATTTTAGTACCTTTGTTTAATTATTTCTTCTTCAACAGACCATATTTTCTCAAGGGAAGGGCCCAGTTATTTTATCCTAGCAGCTGTGCCCTAATTACATGACCATTCAGTGCCTGAGAAAATCATCAGGTAAACTTTTAGTTGAAAAGAAATCCATAGTAAACATATAAACATATCAGAAAAGTGAGCACCCCTAGTTACCTCTCATAAAATCTGAATTTTCCTTAAGGCTTACACTTACAATGTTTATTTATTAAAATGTCATATTAATATAGCTTATTTCTTGAGTACTTGCTGTATGGAAAACTAAGATTCTAGAGTTACATGAAGAGCATGCCTGATCAAAGGCATTAGTATTACAATACAGTGAACATGCCTGATCCTAGGCTTTAGTGTTATAATAAAGTGGCAGTGTCATGAGAATAGTATACACCAGGGAACCTAAGGGAGAGGACTTTCAAGCTTGGGAGAGAATGAGCTTTGAACTCCATCAAAGCAAACTGGCCAAATAGAGAGGGTTAAGGGAGTGAAGGTTACTTTAGACAGAGGAACAGCAGGTACGGAGGTGTGACTGAGATATTGTGTTAGCTAACTGCAACTGCATGTATGGCTAGAGGGTAGGACGTAGCGAAAAAGTGGCCTGAGCCAGAGAGTAAAGCATCTCTATACCATACCAACGTAGTTGGGATGCCTCTATTTGTGCCAGCAAATACACACTTTCCTCATATGAAGGTCAGCTTTTCATTCTGTATATCATGTGAAGGAGATTTCAGAATAATTTTTGAACATGTTTAGAGTAGTTTATCAATTCCTTTTTTTTAAAAAAACTGCTAGCTCAATATAGGCTAGAAAATGAAAAATATTTCTATAAATTAGTATTAATTGCAAGGAAATGATCCGTGTAGACAAGTGGGAATATTTTTTCAAAAAGCAGTTTGTTCTCAGGAACCTAGTAAAACTAAGACTTACATGACCTTGGTTATGGGGGATTTGAAGATGAAATGCAAAATTGTAACTTCAGAATTATGTTATTGTGTTCTTCAGACTATATTATCTCCTAGTTATTTAGATTTTGACTTCTGTCTGCTGTAAGATAGGATAAACATACTTTTCCCTATTCTTTCCACTAAGTACAATTAAAATTCATATATATATACATATATATGTATGTATATATTACAAAGACCAGAGAAAAGATAATTAATTGTCTAGGAACTTAAGTACCCCAACAACTTGGTGGTGAAGTTTCTAGATTTTTTCCTTGTGTGAGCTAGTCTTAGAACTAAAGAACAGCACCGTGGTAACCTCAATGGGTACAAACCAAAAGATAGCCCCAACAAATGACTATTATAACTTCACCTGGTAATTATTCTGCAGTATCCCCAGCCTCTTCCTCTGCCAGGAGCCAGCTAAAACAGGTTTAAATGAGATCCATAGTCTTGTCATACCCAAAATTTCTAAGCTTTGATTAAAAGTCATATATCATACCAAGAACTAGAAAAGTCACTAAAGGAATGGTTAAGATGACAGAGATGTTATCTGACAAAGATTTTAAAACCAATAATCACAACTCAGCATTGCTGGCACATGCCCATAATTCTAGCTACTCAGGAGACAGAGGTCCAGATGATTGCTGTTAAAAATCCAGGCCTGGCAGAAAAGTCTGTAGTACTCCATCTCCAAAAGAACTGGCAAAAACTGAGCTAGAGGCCTGGCTCAAATAGTAGAACACCAGCCAAGAAAGCAAGCCAAGCAAATGTGAAGTCCTAAGTTCAAACTAGTACCATGAAAAAAAAAAAAAAAAACAAGCAATTATCTTAAGTATGCTTCAGTGAGTAGTAAAATGTGAATGGAAAAGTAGAGAATGTGTAATAAAAACTCACTGGGTAGGCTCAACAGCAGAATGAAGTGGTCAGAGGAAGAAGCAGTAAAGTGGAGATAGAAAAAAAGAAATACATGATGTAGTGGTACACACCTCTAATCCCAGCTACTCAGGGTATGTGGGGAGCAGGATCACAAGTTTGTTGGTTTTTTGTTGTTGTTATTGGTCATGGGGCCTGAACTGAGAGCCTGAGCACTGAGGTTTTTTCACTCAAGGCTAGTGCTGTACCACTTTGAGCCACAGCACCACTTCCAGTTGGTAGTCAGTTGAAGCCAAGAATCTTATGGACTTTCCTGTCTGGGCTGGCTTCAAACCAGTCTTTAAAATTTAGCCTTCTGAGGGGTGGGAAGGTGGGTCAGTGGTAGAGCACTAGCCTTGCATACAGAGGCCGTGGGTTCAATTCCTCAGCACCACATAAACAGAAAAAAAAAGCCGGAAGTGGCACTGTAGCTCAAGTGGTAGAATGCTAGCCTTGAGCTGAAGAGCTGAGGGTCAGCGCCCAGGCCCAGAGTTCCGGCCCCACAACCGGACCCCCCCCCCAAAAAACAAAAATTAGCCTTCTGAGTGTAGGATTACAGGTGTGAGCCACTGGTACCCAGCATTCAAGAAGGAAAAAAAACCTCCAAACATGATAAAGAAATCATATATCTTGATATATCATAAACTTCTGAAAACTAAAGAAAAATGTCAAACACAAGCAGCAGGCGAGAAATACTAAAAGCATAACCCATAAAGAAATGTTGTTAAATTAGACTTCATCAAAACAAACTTGAGCTGGAAAGACTCTTAAGAGGATTAAAAGACAAACTGTACACTAGGAGAAAATAAAGAACCCTTAAAACTAAAGAAATAAATCTTTCTAGAATATGGATAATGATAAAGAATATACACAAATTACAAACAGCACATAAAATATGTTTCCCATGCTTGACTTTTCTGTAAAGAACCAAAAGGGAGAGGATTTAGGATTTAGATCCACCCTCATACCACTTTTCTCAGACTAAAGCAGTCCAGATTATGTGTTGTTCTGCTACAAAAATGCACTCTCCTACCTATTGAGGGGGGTTGCTAATTTGAATTCTTTCATATCTTATTTTAAAGGATGAGTTAGGTTTAGCCTACTTATAATGCTTACTTGATTTTGTTAGGCAATAGATTTATTATGAAAGACATGTTTATATCCCAGGATTTTATGCAGCATACTGCATTTGAGTCAATTGTTAATATAGTCATTTGCTATTAGGGCACATAAGTTAAGTGCATTTGTCAATGTTGTATTAATAACTTACCAGTCAGGTGATTATATGACGAACAGGTTAGAAACTTTGAAATACCTGATTTATGGAATTGTAACTCCTTTGTACAACTACATACTAATGATTATTTTTAAATTAAGAACTTTGAAATAATGTGAAGTCAGGTATTAATGATGTACTCTCGTAAACTATGATTGCTCTGGTTTCATAGGATATATTTTGATCCTCATGTTACTTCATTTTTACTCTTCTTGGAGTACTTGTTAATCTGCAGCTTTCCAATTTACTAGATAATTCTGTACTGACAAGGCAATGTAATCTAGTAAGACTGGCCTGGCTTTGCTTCCTCAAAACATCTGTGGACACTTACCAAGACTGCTGTGGTTTCAGTAGAAATTGTAAGAACCTGTAAACGGTTGAGTGCGACGGACCAGCTCGGCCGGAGCACTGGGAGCACTGGGACCGACGGGACAGGGATCTCAGGATAGATGGGCAAGGGGTTGGCGAAGTGACAAACAGACACAGACTCAAAAGAGTTGCACCTGAGTGTATCTTTATTGAGAAGAATTAACATTTTTAAACAGTGTGCAATTGTGACATAGATCCTTTGTTTATTTAAGCACGTAATCAATTTTTAAGAAAAGCAAAGCATTGATGGATTAGATGAAAATTGATGACTATCCTACCAACTGTTTAAGGTAAGTGGTGCAAAACAAGTCTAGCATATAGTTTAATAGAATGCATCATCTATTCAGTCTTTTTATGTTTAATAATTAACAAACCTAAGACAGGGCTGTACTTATAAGGTACTCTTTTTATTTTTTCCGTATATTTTCAAGTCCCTTTGAAACCATCCTAAAAACCACTTCCAGGTTGAGTCAGGCATTCTCCATTTTCTATAATTTTAATCCCAATATTTGTTCACATAAATTTTTTAATTGTTATTTTAAACTATCTTATTGTTGTTTTGATAATAAACACCATAATGGTCTAGATCTACCTAATCTTTGCATAAAATCTAATGAGTTCCAAAATACCCTTTTTCCTTTTATATTAATTTATCTATTTTTATCTTTATAAGCTCCTGTATAAGGCAATGGTTCATCAGTCGGTTCAGGAAATGTGATGTCACTAACTTTATATTTTGTGGGAAACCACCATTTATTCCCTAAACTTAACTGTTGGGGGAATCTTTCTTTTCCTTTTATTATCAGGGGTCCCTTTTTCTAGAACTCTGAGCTTTTGGGATAACTCCTTCTAGCTTAGTTTAATTCATTAATTCTGCCTGTTGTAACATATCTGGAAATTTTAAGTTTCTGTATTTACTGTGCCTGAGCCGCAAAACTGTTTGTAAAGTTGTAGGAGTTTCTGGAGACAGCGTCACATCAGATGATAGATTGATTGGGGCATTGCCCACATTTAAGCTATAGTCCTAGTCTTTATTATTCAGAGAAGCTGTCTCTATTGGACTGGAAAAAAACAACATGCTCTGTTCACGGATCAATAGAAAAATAGCCAAAATGAAAATAAAGGAAACATGTACAGCCAAGAAAAATATAGTAAGAATAAAGGTAGAGGCTATAAAGGTGTAGCCAAGTGTATGGAAAGCCTTAAACCAACACCCCCTTCCTTCAGGCATGCTTCCTTGAAGCTCTTTATCTAACGCAATCTCTCACGCAGACTCAGCAGGAGTTGGCATGGCAGTTGAGGTTTCAGGAAAATTTCTCAATTGTAACTACTAGAATAATGGTATTATCTGGAAACAAATATAATGTAAGTTCTATTTCCAATTTGAAGTTTCAGGAACTAAGGTAAAAATCGAGTACTGTTACTCTCAGTAGGATCAGTCATTGCTCATAGTTTTTTTTGTGTGTGTGTATGTATTTTTCCTTTTTTTTCTTTCACTTTTTTCCATTGTCAAGATGACATTCAGAGGGGTTACAGTTACATAAGTAAGGTAATAAGTACATTTCTTGTCAAACTTGTTTTTACTTCCCTCATTTTTCTCTGTCTTTTCCTCCCCCCCATCCCCAAGTTGTACAGATCATTTCTAATATATTGTCTTGTCTATATCGCTGTTGCATTGGTTCCCCCCTTTTCCTTTGTCTCTTTTTTCTCCCAGTCCTGGGACTTGAACTCAGGGGGTCTGGGCATTGTCCCTGAGCTTCTTTTCTTTTGCTCAAGGCTAGCACCCTATCACTTGAGCCACAGCGCCACTTCTGTTTATGTGGTTCTAAGGAATGGAACCCAGGGCTTCATGCATGCTAGGCAAGCACTCTACCACTAAGCCACATTCCCAGTCCCTCAGCAAACACTTTCTATAAATGATCAGCTGAGAGATATTTTAGGCTTTGTAATCTATATCATCTTTGTTACAATTAATAAATTCTTTGAGTGTCACAACAGGTATAGACAGTATGGAAAAATATGAACATGGCTATGTTCCTTGATAAACCTATTTATGGACACCAAAAGCTGAATTTCATATTATTTTCTTATGTTATTCTTTTCAAAGAAAATATCATTTAAAAAGTGTCTTAAAACCACTCTTAACTCATCAGCTATACCAAGAAATGGGCAGAAGGCTAGGTTTGTTCCACAGGCTATATTTGTAACTTTTTATATCAATCATATAAAAACATGTTATCTTAGTGATATATAACAATTACTGCATATTTTTTATGCCTCAGGCAGTATATTTGCCCTATAAAATAGGTCTTCTTATTCCTTTTTCCTCAGTTTTTTCTCTAACAGGAAAATAACCTAAGACTAGGAGAGGTTCAATAATTTACCAAAATTTATCTAGCCAGGAAATGATGGAATTGGATCAAATGCTGAAAATCCTGAATTATGTTGAAAATATGGGTTGTGTTCTTTATTTGTGGTTGAATTTAGGATAATCACTTTTCATGAAGGAAAACTGCAGGTAGTGCATATGATCTAGACAGATCACTTGCTCTGTCCACATTCTTACATGAATTTACCTGGTTAGCATAGATCCATTCTTAAGTAAATTTACAAAAGCCTTCCAACTGAAAACCCAGGTCTATCTGTCTTCTTTCTTCAGGTCTGCTTTCTAGTTTAATGCTTCCACTTCCCGTGCTAAAACATTTATGTGATATTTGCTTTATCCAAGATCTTTTTCTCTCCTAAGAATTCTCACTGTTGTTATACCTCGTTTCTCCATGGAAATTTTTTTGCCAGGGCTTCAACTCAGGGCCTGAGTGCTGTCCCTTAGCTTTTTTTCTCACAGCTAACCTTCAACCACTTGAGCCACAGCTCACTTTTTGGAATTTTGTTATAGATTTTTTTTTAAAAAGTCTCAAGGATTTCCTGCCTGAGCTAGCTTCAAACTACAATTCTCAGATCTCAGCCTCCTGAGTAGCTAGGATTACAGGTGTAAGCCTACTTGAACATAATTATTTCTAACCTAGAATCTGTTTTGTTTTAAGGTAAGAATGAACAGTCAAAAGGGAATGAGTAGTGGGAATAGTTAACTCTTTCTAAAACTATTTTAAATATGCAATTTGATTTCTTGGAAGTATTTGTTTTTTTTTATTGTGAAAATACTGTACAGAGGGGTTACAATTACATGAGCAAGATAGTGAGTACATTTCTTATCAAGCATTGTAGCCTCCTCCTTTGTTTACCTTTCCCAGCCTCCACTCCCCCACTTAATCCTCCCCCTCCCCCCCACCAAAGTTGTAAAGTTCGTTTTTGACATGACAACTTGTACTTCTCATTGTTGCAACGTGTCCACCTGTATTCTTATTTAAATGACTTGTTTTTCCCCTTCCCCCACAAATTATACTGACATCAAATACAGTGAAAGCAGGGGTTATACTGTGGGGGAGGGACATACAAAGCAACAAAGAAATAATCTTATAAATGCGTTAGAAACAAATGCATGAAAGAAAAAAAACATTTAAATACATATCTTAGGGTTCATTGTTCTAACTTCACCTTATCTGACCTTTTCTGCTTGACTCATACATATACTAGATATTGCAAATAAGGGAAACCAGGGGACCTATGTTTCTTTGGGCTTGGCTTACTTCACTTTATATGATTTTTTTCGTGGAAGTATTTCAAATGTTGATTTTACTCTGTTCACATTTGTGCCTTAGTGCCTACCATGGTCCAGTCTCTTTAACTTAAGTGTTCAAATAACGGATTAGTCATTATGTGAGGCTAAGGTATTCTTTTCCTGTGTGAAGGTTACAAGAACAGCAAATCGTCCGATAGCTGCTGGAGACATTTCAACTTTCCAGTCCTTTGTTTTTCTTGGAGGACAGCTGAGCTTGGCACTGGGTGTTCTTCTGTGTCTGAATTACTACAGGTATTTTTGGAATTACTACAGGTTTATTCAATGTGTTCTTCACAATTGTATGTAAAAATTGCTCCTTTAAAATAGAGAAATAGAATAAAGTAGAAATATTTATGCTGAGCCAGTGTTTATGGGAGCATTTTTTTTTTTTGGATCCGATCCCTGGGGCCTGAACTCTGGGCCTGGGCGCTGTCCCTCAGCTCTTCAGCTCAAGGCTAGCACTCTACCACTTTAGTCACAGCGCCACTTCCAGCTTTTCTCTTTTTGCTTATGTGGTGCTGAGGAATTGAACCCAGGGCCTCGAGCATGCAAGGCAAGTGCTCTACCACTGAGCCACCTTCCCAGTCCTATAGGAGCATTTTTATGTTAGTAAACATAAAAAAAGATTTTACAATGGGTGATGAATTACTGTTTTTATGCTTACTAACATAGTAAAATCTTCTTCAAGAATACTTTCAGCAAAAGGAGTTAAGAAATCAGCATTAATTTATTATGAATTACCTTCAGTATTTGTATTGTATATTCCCTACAGGACACAAGGTACTTTCATACACCTGTCTTTCTGTGATTTTATATATACTGAAAGTTCTGTCTGAAGTATATGAAAGTAGAAGTGACTATACTCATTTTGCAGAAGCAGAGCTGTCTTTTCTAGGACCATACCACTAATCCAAATGACAAGGAAAAAGTGAGAGGCTTGCTCTAGTATTTTGTAGACAGACACACAGTTATATTTTTGTGCATTAGATGGCAGCTTACAAAGTGTTTCAGAGAGGGAATAAAATTTTTAAAAGGAGGGGGGGGGTGTCATGATTTTGTAGAGAGTAGGCTTTATTGTATGCATGCCTTGCCTTGATAGCATCAATTACAAGAAAACCCCCTTGGAAGATTATTCTTGGAGGGAGTGGAGTTAGATTAATTTGGTTTTAGATACCTAAGAATATCTTACGTTTACATAGTTACTTTCCTTTCCGTGAAAAGTAACACCTCCTTCTAAATATAAGGAGGAACTAATGAATTCTCTATTAGGATTTTATAGTTTATTAGACACCATATGGTTCAAAAACAGTTTAGAGGTATTAATATATTTTGGATAATAGGCTGTGCTCTGATTACTTTGAGAACTGGGGATGTAGCTCAGTGTAAGAGTGTTTGCTTAGCATTCTCAATTATAATTCTAATTATTCAGAAGGCTGAGATCTGAGGATAGAGGTTCACAGCCAGCCCAGGCAGGACAGTCCTTGATACTCTTATCTCTAATTAACCACCAAAAAGCCAGAAGTGGAGCTATTGCGCAAGTAGTAGAGTGCTAGCCTGGAGTTGAAAAGGTTAGGGCCCTTGTTTCAAGCCCCAGGACCAAGCATACACAAAAGACTTTTTATGCTTCATTTTCCTCATATACAGAATGATCCCTCCTAGGATCATTATTTACATGGGAACAAGTTGACAATGTAAAATATTCCCAATTGAACCTGGTAAGTCAGACATGGGGCTTATGCCTATACTGCTAGTCCTTGGAAGGTAGAGCAGGAAGCTCATGAGTTCATGGACAGCCTGGGTTACTTGGTGATGTTAACACTAACTTGGGCTACATAGTGAGATCCTATTTAAAAAACAAAAAATATTTCCTGATATGAAAGTGCAGTATATGTTAGCTATTATTTCAGTTGTCAGTTAACTTAAAACGTTTTTCTAATCATTCTTTTCAATAGGAAAAGTCAAAGTCTAGGAAGAGAATTTTATATAACAAAATGCTACTTAAAAGGAAAATATCTTCCAGTTATCATACTCATGTTCAAATAGTGATTTTCTGCATGATGGTAAGGTTGATGCAGTATTTCTCTGTTTTCAGTATAGCTCTGGGAGCAGCATCCTTACTTCTCGTCATCACTTACCCACTAATGAAAAGAATCACATACTGGCCTCAGTTAGCCTTGGGTAAGCTGCAAATAGCTAAGTATTTCTTTTGATACTTTCTAACCCTATTCCTCCTATATATTATATGTATATAGATAGAAATGCAATCTCAGATCAGTCGTGAAATTTCCTGAGCCAAGAATAAATTGTCATATTTTTAAGGAGGGCAGTTAGTTACTGTTATTAGTAAAGAAATCTTATGTGGGCTGGGAAGGTGGCTCAGTGGTAAAGCGCTTGCCTTGCATGCATGAGGCCCTGGGTTCGATTCCTCAGCACCACATGAGCAAAAAAGAAAAAAGCCGGAAGTGGCGCTGTGGCTCAAGTGGTAGAGCGCTAGCCTTGAGCTGAAGAGCTGAGGGACAGCGCCCAGGCCCAGAGTTCAGGCCCCACGACCAGACCCAAAAAAAAAGAAAGAAATCTTATGTATTTATTGATTATTGTCAGCATTATTACTATTTTCTGAAATACTTTTTAAAACACTAGACATGTCATGAAGAGATGGTTGATCAAGGTATTGTAAAGAATTCGGGCAGGAGAAAAGCAAGGGTTAAAAGTGTATGTGATAGTTTAGTCCCTCATCTATAAAGTCATTCTTCAACTTGTCTGGAAAACATGAGTCTTTGAGTTTCCACAGCACTCCATGCTGTCATTCTTACCCATTTCAGTAACATTAATTCAACAAATATCTAGTGACAGCCACCATTTCCTCCTCTTAATAAATTGAAAATGATCCCCAAAAAGTCATTTTTTATCTTTGACCTAGTATCTTAACATATGCAGCTTTTTGATGTTATTTGTTGGTTAAGAGGGGCAAGTAGGTGGGTAAATCAAACTACTGCAAAACAAAACTACTGCAAAAACAAAAAAAGTCCCAGACTTTTGTGTCCTATATCTAGAATACTCTATTCTGTTCCTAGTTCTTTGAATCATTTTTCCAGTAAATAAAAGACCCAAAAGATGTTCTAAAAAAATTGTTGAGCCTAACTTAATGGGAAAGCTCTGATGGAATATATATATTTATCTTTTTCTAAGTTCCTATTTCTTTTCTGTCTCTGCACTTTTCATTATTAAAATAAAGTTTTAAAAGTACGTTCACGGATGAACCTAGGAATCTTTAATAGAGGGAGCATAAGCAATTCCTCGCTTTAACAGTATTTTGAAGGCTGGCACCTTTACTTTAGAAATTTATTGATGAGTTACAGAAGGTACTTGAAAATTAAAGATGACTAAAACCCAGTCTCATTTTAAAGAGCCAGAAGAGACAGCAGATAAGCAGGTCATTGAGTACAGTGTGGTATTAAGGAATACAGTAGGTATGGAAGGAAGGGTATTCTTATTAGAAATAGGCAATGTATGAGGGGAAAGAGCCAGGCACTGATGGCTCACACAAGTAATCCTAGCTACTCAGGAGACTGAGATTGAGAATTAAAGCTGTCCTAGGTACACAAATCTAAGAGACTCTTATCTCCAATTAACCAGCAAAAAGCCAGAAGTGAAGGTATGGCACAAGCCAACCCAGAGAGAGGAACCCTGAGAACTATCAGCTAATTAATTACTAATTAAACTCTGTTGTCCTGTTTTCTTATTTGTAAAGTGAAGGAACATGGACAATATCATACCGAGCCTAGTATACAGCAAGTACTTAATACATGCTGACTTCCCTCTCCTTCCCTGTGGAATACTGAAGTACATTTTTTTTGGAGGGGGGGAAGAGGGGGTCCAGTCGTGGGGCCTGAACTCTGGGCCTGGGCACTGTCACTCAGCTCTTCAGCTCAAGGCTAGCGCTCTACCACTTGAGCCACAGTGCCACTTCCGGCTTTTTTCTTTTTGCTTATGTGGTGCTGAGGAATCGAACCCAGGGCCTCATGCATGCAAGGCAAACGCTTTACCACTGAGCCACCTTCCCAGCCCCTGAAGTACATTTTGACCTTACCCCTCTTTTTGTTTTGTCAATTGTAGGGTTAACTTTTAATTGGGGAGCATTGCTTGGATGGTCTGCTATCAAGGGTTCCTGTGATCCATCTGTGTGCTTGCCTCTTTACTTTTCTGGAGTTATGTGGACACTGATATATGATACCATCTATGCCCATC